ATTATCCACCTCAATAAATGAATGTGTATTTGAAAGATAGGCTTCAAAACTCTGGGATATCAAACCAAACATGTATTTGATCAAGACAGAATGGCTTAATTAAACAAAGGATCAATTAGTTATGAGACTAGAGATGTTCACAAAGGTATAACAGTGGTTTTAGCTATTTTATTCTTTATCCACTACAGACTTTAATAAGACTACTTTTTATTTTATTAATATAATAATTTACATTCAGTGAAAATGATCCTGTTGTAATTAACCTAGCTATTGATAACAGTTGAAAGGAGCAAAGGGAAGTCCAAATATTATAGGTATGTCATTTATACAGCTTCACCAGGAAGTTACAGCTTTACACCCCCCAGGGAGCCACCGGTCTATTCCCTGCAGATCCCTGGGGGAAGGGACTAGCCAGGGAAGATAGACACATGCCCAGTAAAGCTGAGGTGATGCAGGCAAGGTTCTTGTCTGTCAGTCACACCTGGAACAGATCACTGGCCAGAGTTGTCATGGCCACTGCAAGGGCATGCCATTTGAAATGTTTACTCCCCTAAACAAAGGAGTCGGCTGTCTTCATTACCTCCTGTGTTGTGGGGCTCTTGTTCCTGCTTCCTGGCATTCTTCGTTGTGGCCCACAGCCATGTGTGCTCCCACACACAATGGACTAATGACCTGTAAATAGCCTGATGCTGAACTGGACCTGGCCGCAACATGGAACGGAAACTGTGGACACTGGCTTTGTTTTTAGCTCTGCTGAATCCCCAGCTAATCTTCTTCCAGGACTTGGTTAAGGGAAATGGGATGCAGAGATGTAGTTCCACGCAAATAAAAATCATTCATTCTTCTATGCAAGTATCAGAAAATTCTGTTTCTCTAGATACTGTGAGAACTCCACCCCCCGCACTAAGTGGGGGAAGGGATACCTCAACGTCCCCAATCACAAAACGTACTGTTCTTTGATGAGTTTGGTGAACTCTATAAGCAATAGTCAGTACTCAGATCAGAGCATGGAACATTGCCATCATCCTAGAAATATCCTTTTTCCTTTTCTCCAGTCATTCTCCATCTATAATTTTCAATGATTCTTTCTTTATCTCATCATAGCTTAGTTTCTCTTGCTCTTGAGCTCCATAGGAATGAACTTATGTATACGTCCTTTTTAGTGACCCGGTCTTTGAGAGTTTTCAATGTTATGTTTATTGGTAATTTGCATATTATACTCTTTTTCTTCTTAAAAATGTATTTTTTATTGATTTCAGAGAAGAAGGGAGAGGGAGAGATAGAAATGTCAATGATGAGAGAGAATCATTGATTGGCTACCTTCTACACGCCCCACACTAGGGATCGAGCCTGCAACCCAGGCATGCGTCTTGACTGGGGATCAAACCATGACCTCCTAGTTCATAGGTCGTTGCTCAACTACTGAGGCATGCTGGCGGGGCACAGGGATAAACTTTTATAGTTTCATGGAAAGCACTCGAGTTGAGATGGCCCTTTAGAGTTGTCTTGCCTTAAGATAAGGGAGCCATGACTTTACACTCCTGTGTTTATGATGGGTAGGTTTCCACTTGGGTTGGGACATGACCTCGGTATAGAAGTTCTCTCAGGTAAAGTAAATTTCTAGAGAGGAACTCAGCTGCTGAAATTCCCAAAAGGGGAAAAGGGAATGAGCTTCTTAGTCCTATACGGGGAATCTGGGTGGCGCATCATGTTATCCACAATAGAAAGTGATTGAGAATGACATTGTGTTGGTTGGTCACACCTTGATTTTGCATGCATACAGATTTTAGGGGCTTACTCTCTTCCTGTCTCTACCATAGTTTCTGGGAGTATAAGTAAGTTAGCTTTAGTTTTATTGAGTTTATTCTGTATTGTCATCAATGTTGATGCATATGATGGATATTTCAAGCAAAACATGTTGGAGAGTTTTATTTAACATTTTGATGAGAATTACATTATTTTTTTAAAAGAAACTCAGGGTTTTATAGCAAAAATAATACATATTTCTGACACCTCTTACAAAGGCTGACTTCAGTAAGTTCGATATCTCTGTAGGCTTTAGAAAAAAATGGGCTATTTAATTAATTCTTCTGCCTCCTACTTAAAAAGAAAATAAAAAATAAAAAAATAAATAAGCTCTATAGTTTTGTTTTGTTTGTTAATCTCGTGGTTTAAAGCAGCTCATTGTTATTTTTGGAAATCCGTCAGTGTTTAACCTTCAGATCACCTTTAATGCCACTGAGATTTATTGTCTAATTGTAACAATCAAAATAAGAGACAGTCATAGAAGTGGCAAGGACCTCACTTCGACTTTCCTTTTGCAGTGAGATAATAAAGATCAGGTCCATTGATCCAGGCACCACTGTATAGGAGCATCTCACGGCTCACAGCACAAAATCCCAAAGATGATGTGTGCAGAATGATACTCTAATATATTAAAAGCCACATAGTAAGACACTGTATAACATTATGGTTTGAAGAAAGAATATTTTTGTGAGAGGTTTTACATCCAAAGATATTGAATGCTCAATGTAGCATTTATTTGGATGGGCAATGAAAGATTCATATAAACATCCATGAATAATCACCCGGTTGCACATAATGTTCAGCAGCACTTACCTAAATGTTTCATATTGCCATGGGATAGATTCTTATACAAAGCCTGAAAGTGCACAGCTGAATGGATGATTACTGAAAACAGACCTACTTGATATTATACTAGCATCATCGACTCACTAATATTTATATAGGTCTTTGTTTTTTTCCCCAAATATAAAACTATGAGAGCTATACACATATTTTACAGTTTATTCTGAAAGAATTAAAAATATTTTTCAGGCCGAAACCGTGCGGGCACATCCCCAGTGGGAGATGTGCAGGAGGCAGTTGATCGGTGTTTCTCTCTCATCGATGTTTCTAACTCTCTGTCTCTCTCCCTTCCTCTCTGAAAAATCAGTAAAATATATTATAAAAAAATAAAAATAAAAATATGTTTCAGAATAAAAAGCATTTTATTATTTTTTTCACAGATTAAAGATAAACTTTGAAAATAAAGTGTCAAACCTTCTGAAAATGGAGGTGGCTCAATTAACTTTGAGTACTTGGAAAAGTGATGTTTTTCACCTAAAAGGCACAAGATTCTGTTTCTTTACTCTCTATTTCACCGAGTATAACTATATAACTGGACCAAATATTTCTAGTCACTGGAGAAAGCATTTAGTTTTGAGGGTGAGGATAAGAATTAAGGGAGAATAGTAATTTTACATACTCTAAGTATTTTGCAAGAAGAAAAAGAAAGAAAATAAGTTAGCTGGCAAGAATTCTTCACAAAACAGAAGTCAGAAACACTAAGTTATTTGGTCCTTGCTTTAGGACCAGTAAGAGAGGTTCAAAAAAGGCCCCCCTTCCCCCAAAAAACATCAATTTGATTCTTATGGATTGGGAGGCAGAACCAGGACTCCTTTAACAAAGTTTAGTTATTTAGTTATTGCTATGAATAATATTGTTTTCTCTTTAATAATGTTTACACCAAAGCTAAGGTTGAAAAATCTCCTATCCCTTGTGTGATTAAAATTGCTAATTAATTATCACACTAATTGTGGGTTTTTCACATATGATCCTTTAAGTATCTGAAATCATTAGTACTCATGAATCATCATAGATATCCGTATGTACCACTGGTATGTAAAGCCTTTGGGACAATAATAGATACTCTAGACATTTAGTAATAGAATACAAAAAAATATATACCATGTTTTTCTTTATCTCAACTTCTTGAGTGTTCCATATTCTAATGCATTTTCCACAACCTCTACCTCCTCCTCCTCATAACACCTCTACTCCATTACATTGTATAAAATCAGCATGTCTTTTTTAGTTTATTAGTTTATTAGGTGTATTCATTATAAGTTGTTTATCTTCTTGTCAGTATTTTAATAAGGTCTACAGGATTAATATAAATGCTATTATGATGCTTAATTTTTAGGTGTCAATACATAGGGTGTTTGGGGATGAGATTAACATTTAAGTTGATGAGTTCTGGGTGAATCAGATTGCCCTCTATAATGTAGGTGGGTTTCATCAAATCAGTTGAAGGCCTAACTAGAACAAAAAGATCAGCTCCCAAGAGTGGTAGTGAATTCTTTTGAAGACTGCCTTTGGAATTCATCTGCACCATGAATTCTATTGTGTCTTGACCTGCTGGTCCACACTACAGATTTTTAACTTGCCAGCCTCCATAGTTGTGAGCCAATTCCTTATAATCTCTCTCTTTCTCTAATATATATATACATATATATATATACACACTAGACACCCAGTACATGAAAATTCATGCACTGGAGGGGGGGTCCCTCAGCCCTGCCCCTTCTCACAGTCCAGGAGCCCTCAGGGGTGGGAGGTGACCTGGCTATCAGGGAAGGTGACACCCCATCACACCTCTGCTGCTACCACTGCTGGAAACGCAAGCCTCAGCCGACCTTGGTTACCTGCGCCTTGGGCTGCCCTGGGTGGCTGGGGAGCTGAGGGGACTGGGGGACTCTGGAGGCAGGTGCTTGCCACCCCAGCAGGGCTTAGGGGTCTGGGTGCCACCATCTTGTGGCTGTGAGCATCACTATCTTTGAGGGTGGGGCAGTCAATTATCATCTTCCCTCCTTATTGGCTGTGGGTGCCTCCATCTTTGCAACAGCGTGAGGGTCAAGCGTGTGTGTGTGTGTATACTGGAGGCTCGATGCACAAAAATTCATCCATGGGGGGGGGTCCCTCAGCCTGGCCTGTCCCCTCTCACAGTCTGGGAGCCCTCAGGGGATGTCCTACTGACGGCTTAGGCCTGCACCCTGCAGGGAGAGGGCCTAAGCCACAGTCTGGCCTCCCTCTGTGGGAGGCTACCTGGCTGATCAGGGAAGATGCCGCCCCCATCACCCTGCTGTTGCTGCCACTGCCGGCCTTGGTGGCTGCAAGTCCTGAGCCCCAGGCCTCACAGCTGCCTGAGCCCATGGCTGCCTGAGCCCCAGGCCTCGCAGCTGCTATAACTTTGTCTGAATGGACGTCCGGAAGATGCCTGCCCTATTTAGCATATGACCCTTTAATTAGTATCTATAATAATAAAAGTGTGATATGCTAATTAGACCAGATGTCCTTCCAGACAACCTTCTGGATGAAGCCAGGGCTATGAGGGAAGCTTGGGTCCTGGGTGCTAGAAAGAAGCCGATGCCAGCAGCCAGGGGAAGGAAGGTCTACACTTGCATGACTTTCGTGCATCAGGCCTCCTCTAGTATCTATCTATGTATCTATGTATCTATCTATCTATCTATCATCTTATATAATAAAAGAGAAACATGTAAATTGACCGTCCCTTCGCTATACTCGCCAGCCAATCAGGAGTGAATATGCAAACTAACTCAACAAAGATGGCGGGTTAATTTGCATACACAGGACCCAGGCGATAACAGAAGTGGGAGAACTGGCAACTTGGGGGGACATGGCTCCCTTGGTTGCTCCCCCAAGCACCGGGCAGAGAGCAGAGCATTAGAGCCAGAGGCCTGGTGGGACATGGCAGAGTGAGAAGCCCTGGGACAGAGACAGAGCAGGAAGGGAAAATCTAGAGCATGGGAGCACCAGGAATGCTGGGAATTGTAGTTCTGATGGCAGATGGAACTCCTAGGCCAGGGGTGGGCAAACTTTTTGACTCGAGGGCCACAATGGGTTCTTAAACTGGACCGGAGGGCCGGAACAAAAACATGGATGGAGTGTTTGTGTGAACTAATATAAATTCAAAGTAAACATCATTACATAAAAGGGTACGGTCTTCTTTTTTTTTTTTTAGTTTTATTCATTTCAAACGGGTCGGATCTGGCCCGCGGGCCGTAGTTTGCCCACAGCTGTCCTAGGCACTAGAGCAAAGTGAGCCTGAGCAACTTACTGTTGCGGTGGGGGATTAAGGGAAAGCAAAGATGAGAGACATAAGTAAAATCAGAGTGTCTAGGAAAAATTAAAGGGAAGA